TGGCTTGTGAAAAAAAGCCTCCATCACAGTATTGTAGATATCTCTCCCTTGTGTTCTTCCAGGCAAAGACAACAGTTTCACCAGCTCTTCTCTCATGATGTTGCCACAAAATTACTGCTGTATATGTGTAGGCATCCTTCAGTCTCGAGAGACTATGGTCGCGTGCTCTGAATAGGTCTTGGAACAGCATCTAGTGTGGCTGAGAAGACCAATTCGAGAATGACAATTCCTTCCACACTGAAGACAAATACAATCTGTTCCCTGTCCAGCTCCCTGGTTTTGCTTGTTTCGGGACTGCCTCTTTGCCTCGGCCTGCTGGACAAATGTCTCTTCAAATTGGGAGAGGCCATGATGCACCGCCTGCCACCAGGCTAAGCGCTCAGATGTCAAGGTTTCCCATCTGTTGAGGTCCATTCCTAAGACCTCAGATCCCGCTTGCAGATATCCTTGTATCACAGCTGTGGTCCCCCTCTGGGGTGATTTCCCTGCACTAATACAGGAGATCTTTTGGAATCAGGCCATCAGCCATTCTCACAACATGCCCGATCCAACGTACAATTTGCTGTTTCAGTAATGTATACATGCTAATAATTCCAGCTCATTCTAGGTCTACTCTATTTGGAACCTTGTCCTGCCAGGGGATACCAAAAATGCATCAGAGACAACACATATGGAACATGTTCAGCTTCCTCCCCTGCCGTGAACAAAGGGTCCAGTACTCACTGAAGTACAGGAGTGTACTGAGGACACAAGCTCTATAGACCTGGATCTTGGTATATGCCATCAGCTTCTTGTTAAGCCATACTCTCTGTGAGTCTAGAGAACATGGTAGCTGCTCTTCCAATGCGTTTATCCAGCTCAACCTCTAATCAAATGCACCCTATTTATAAAGCTTATTAAGTACATTGAAATCCTGGACTTGTTTCCTCCAAAGTAAGCCACCCTCAGAAAAGCAGCTATATATAAGAGTGTAAACTTTTAAAGTGTTTAACTACATTTTATACACTACATAAAGTGTATACACACATTTCACTTATTTGAAATGTAGTGTTGGAAAAGAGTTTTACAGATATCATGACTTATCAGAAAGATAAATAAAGCAAATTAAGTGTGGACTCTCACTAGAAGCTAAAATAACCAAACTCAATAAAGAAAGCCACAGTCTTTCTTTGGCACATGGCCAAAGAGCCTGAAAAACCCACAACAACCATCAGATCCCGGTTGTGAAAGCCTTCAAGAATACATACCACAGTCTTTTATTTGTAAAAAAAATTCTTTGGTGTTGCAGTCAAAGAAAACTTCGGAAGGTTTCTTTTCTCATGGTTTTATGAAAGAGTCTCTCTCTCTCTCTCTCTCTTTCTCTCTCTCTCTCTCTCTCTCACACACACACACACACACACACACACAAACTTTGGAAGGTTTCTTTTTTCATGGTTTTATGAAAGTATCAGTCTCACTCACTCACACACACACACACACACACACTTTGGAAAGTTCCTTTTTTCATGGTTTTATAAAAGTCAATCTCTTGTGCGCATGCACATACACATACATTCTGCCTTCCTCCCAAAAATTTTCTATAATCAGTTGCTTCAGCTCACTATGACCCCGTTTCCTCTCATTACATTTAAACAAGCTTGATGAATCTACCTGCCTCCCTCTCTTGTACATTCCTTCCTACCTTAATTGGAGCCTTCGCTCCTGCTTCCAGCGGAAGTAGCAATTCACAAGCTGGATTAACTGCAGCTTTATCTCCGATCTTCCACATAGGTTCTACATCAACCTTGTAACTTCCTTGGTTACAAGGTTGGAGACTTCCAAGGTGATAGGAAATGATGTTTGTATAGGAAAGGTGCTGGTGTTCAATTTGCATAGGATTGTTCATATTTGCCTAGGGGAAGAGAGACAAAATTTTGGATTCCTTTGTAACCCCATACCTTCTGCCAGAAGGAATGGGGTTACAAAGGAACCCAAAACTTTATCTGAGTGGGAAGCACAGGAAGGATGGAATTTTACAACAGGGTTGGTCAACAGGGTGGGTCAACAGACAGCAATTATGGAAATACATGGTTACATTGTTGTAGTCCATTGACATGAAAACAATTTATTATCTTGCAAGTTAGTTACAAAGTTGGAGACTTCGCTATGGAGGATCTTCGCTGAACTGTGAGTTTTCACCCCATAGGAACGCATTAAACGAAGTTTTTAGTTGGGGTTTTTAGTTCCGTTTAGCGATGTTTCCGGATAGCGACGATTAATCCGGAATGGATTAATGTCGCTATGCGGGGCACCATTGTAGTGCCATGGTCCCTTCATTGGCTTATATAATTAAAAAGACAATATCTAAAAGCTAAAAAGAGTAAGCATACAAATATGAAAGAATTAAACAAGTATTATATTTGAAATGGTAAATAAAATCAATACTAAAAATACATTTTAAAACAACAGAATACAACAATCTTCCCAGAGCTCCACTCCTTAAGAAAAAGCCTGCCAGAAGAAAATGGTGCCTGTATGTGGAAGAACAGCAAAGATGGGGCCAGCCTAGCTCCATGGGAAGGAGCTCCAGAGTCTTGGAGCAGAGACAGAGAAGACCCTCTCCCATGTTCCACCAAACACACCTGTGGGGGTGGTGGGACAGAGAAAAGATCTCACTTGGTGGTCTTTATGCCCAGGCAGGCTCATAGAGGGAGAAATGGTCTTTTAGATAGCTTGAACCCAAGCTATTTAGGGCTTCATAGGTGAAAACCAGCACCTGTACCTGGAAACAGATAGGTAGCCAGTGGAGCTGCTGAAACAGGGGAGTTATATATGTTCCCTGTAACCAGCTCTATTTAGCAAGTTAGCTGCAGCATTTTGGACCCACTGAAGTTTCTGAACACTTTCCAAAGGCAAATCTACAATAAATGAAATTACTCCCCATTTGCTGTCCTTTCATTATCTCTCCTCCTCCCCACACTCTTGCTTCTGTAACCCAGACAGAGCCTTTTCTATTCATAACCAGGAAACCAGCACAGAAGAAGGGACTTTATTTTATTTTATTTAGGAGGTTGAGATTATCGATGGTAATCTTACAGTGCCATCTTGCGGGCAAAGCAGAATCATCAACAGGATATTGTAACACAACACCATTATAGAATATGTTAGCAAAGGGAATCCGAAGTAAGAAGCCGAAGGGGTTGCAATGTCCCACATCCTATGTGCACAGGTAGCACCACCTTCCAACCTTCAATTATAGAGCCAAAGGTTTGCAAAGGTCTACCTCTTGAGCACAGAGCTGTACTGTCCTTGGGACTAAGTGAAATCAGAAAATGCAACCGAAATGAGTTTGTTAAAGTCATTTGTACATGGAGCCTCTCTGAAAATCTTTGACCCTAGTTGCTAAACACCAAGAAAAGAAACCGATGTCATATAACCAAACTAGGTGCATTTAGGGAAACGTGACTTAGTATGCAGTGTGCTTCTCATCTTGCTATTCTAACGGTGGAGTCAGAACTAGATGTGTGTTCTTCCATTTACATGTATCATCCTTCTCCCATTAAATGAATGGGGTGGAACAGCATAAATAATCACATAAATGATAATTGCTCAGAGGGCCCATGACAAATGTGTGTACAAAACTATGTTTTTTTAAAAATTTAAAATATTTTTACCCTGACTTTCTTCTTAAAAAGGACCCAAGGCAGCTTACAACATTAAAAACACAATATTAAAAGCAAAAAGCAATGGAATATTCAAATATAAAGAAGAATTAAAACATTACATTTAAAATGTTAGGCAAAACCATGACTAAAAACAGATTTAGAAGCAACAAAAAGTAAACCATCTTGTTTATTGTCTCCTACCACTGGTTCCCAAACTTGGGTCCCCATATGTTGTTTATTTTCTATTGTCTCCTACCACTGGTTCCCAAGCTTGGATCCCCAGATGTTCTTGGACTATAACTCCCAGAAACCTTCACCACAAGTTGCGCTGGCCAGGATTTCCAGGAGCGGTAGTCCATGAACAGGGTTACCCAAAGTTGGGAACCACTATCCTAGATAATCCGCCACTAAGGAAAGCCTGCCTGAAGAGAAAGGTCTTTGCCTACTTGTGGAATTGTGTGGAATACAAGGGAAAGCACTATTAACTGCATGTACATATAATGTATAATGTGTGAAGGAGGGGTCCAATGTGATCATGTATTACTGTGGATGTTCGTCTGGCTCCACATAAAGTGTGGATGTCTACAGAGGAAAGGCTACATGTATATATACTGTGTGCCTTGAAATAAATCCAGAGGTCAGTGTCCTTAAGAGTATGCCCCCTAATATTGTAGCTCTTTAAGAGCAATCAGTTTTCCCCCCTGTGAGTTTTTATGGATCAAAGTTCACTTTCCGTTCACGGTCTGAGAAAGTGGCCTTTGGTCCACAAAAGGTCGCGCTAAAATGCAAAGGTATTTAAAGCACTACAATATTTGGGGGCTTATTTCTCCCTATTGCATTTGTTTTGTCAACATGCTAAAACAGATGAATACAGCTACTTCTTTGGAAGATGACGTAATGTGTCTAGGAGTGAGGCAATCCTTGTGTGAAAACAAATGGGCACACTCTCTTGCTAAGAAAGGTGTCAGTCTCTATATTCTGGGGAGTTTCTCACCTCTCAGAATCTGGAAAGTTACATTTCAGAAAAATAAATATAATTGTGCACACGCACACAGTATATATACATGCTAGATCTATTGCTTGTTTTTAACAAGATAATGTATTTGTCTTTCTACATTATAAACTTGTATTTTTAATCATAAATGTTATTAATTCATGTTTTGATGCCTCTTGCATCAGGAGAAAAACAGAATATAAATGAAATCAATAAACAAGGAATACAAACACCTGTGCATGCACTGCTTTGCCTCTTGCATCAGGAGAGAAACAGAATATAAATGAAATCAACAAACAAGGAATACAAACACCTGTGCATGCAAGCTTCAACACCCTAAATAACATTTATCTAATTATCACCTTGTATCTGTGAAAGATCACATCAAACTCTTAAGAAAGCTTCTCAAAGCTTTTCAGTTCCTCTTTCACATGGCTGGTGATTTTCTTGATTTTCTGTGGTGAATCAAGGACCTCAACAGTGCAGGTAAAGGGATCATAATGGAGAGGAAAAGGTTTCTTGATCTTCATGGCATATTTCCTGTGGAGGAGAATAATAACTTTATTATGAAAGACAGGTTCCCATTTTTTTTCCAAAGTGTAGACAGTGGCATTTAGAGGACGTTTCCCAATTTTATGACAACTTAATAGAAAAAGTGAACTCTGTGACCTTTGAGAAATAGCTTCATAGCTTAGGAAGTTTGGCAATAGTAGGGTGACCCTTTACACATCTGCACAGATGAGGACAAAGCAGGCTACTACATTGTCCCAAATCTGCATATGCTAATTTTTAAATAAAGACAGCCATGACCTGGAGTTTGCAAGAGCTTGACAGGGATGCTAAAGATACAACATTTCGGAGGTCACTCATTCAGAGTCACCGTGGGTTGGAGGTGACTTGTTGGTACACAATAGCAACAAAGCTGTGTTTATACACAAACCGAGAAATGACGTAATCTAAATATCAAGGAATACAATGCATGATCTCATCATGGTGAGGAAGAGTATGTCCAGTGGACTTCTCTAACCTGCTCAATATGCTCTATTTTAGGTACTGCTGACTGTGGTTGGATAACGTCAAAATTCCTGTCCTTTCTTTACCTTTACACTGGATTTGGACTGGAGGCTTTGCAGGCAGAAAATGCTAAAAATGATCCTATCTATAAAACAGGCACAAGGCGACCTTATTAACAACTAAATGCTTCCTGAGGGAATAAATGACCCAATATTGTGTTCCTGTCCATTGTGCTAATACAATCAAATATTCTTCCAATGCTGTTGAATAACTTGCTTGCCTACTTATTTCAGCGCTTCAGTGGATTGGGCCCAGTGGTGTTGCACAGGGACCGTAGATTCCTCACCTTGCCTCTTTCTGTGGGTGCCCAGTCAGAAGAGGCAGGGAAAGGGAAACTGAGGTAATGTCTCTGAGTGTGTGTCTGTGGGAGGAGGCAGGTCAGGGAATTTGGGGTGCCTACACAACACCTGTGGGCCAGATCTGCCAAACTGCACTGAAGCACCAAAGTGGGGGTCGTGCCCATCTCTATTCAGAAATGTAACCAACAGAAATCTGCCATTTTGCCATGTGTCAAATTCAGACACTATTGTACAGTCAGGTAGGCCGGCACTCACCTTTGGTCTTCTCCCATCCCGACCTACTTGAAATCCATCTGCATGGACCCTAGTCAACACCACAGGTCCATGCCACTCAGAGTCCACAGCTGGGGCTGAATTTTTATCACTCGCCGCACTGAATGGGCTTTTCTAAGTGAATATCAATATGCTCATATGGCAGCCGGTTCCCCTGCTCCTAATGCTCACTGGCCAGCTTCAATACTCTCTCGTGCTGGTGCTCCCACCTCTAGCGCTGGTTCTGTGTTGGGGTTGAGCATCCCACAGAGCATGTTGTAGTGTACACTCTCTATTGTCCAGCTAGACTGTACTTCCTATTAATAATGTTAAAAAACGAAAGCTGCCATGCTTTCTCTGCGTTGCAGTTTTTCAGGAAGCACACTCTCTGGAACCTAAAGGACAGCAAGACTACAACATCCAGAAACAACTGCAGCATCTTCCATTTTTGTACCTCAGGTTCCCCTATCTGGATTTGGGTATTTTTTTGAATTGAAAATCCCAGTAGCCATAGCCAACATAGACAATGGTCAGGTTGTCAAAGAAACTTTAATTCATAAATATCTAAGACTGCCAGATCAGGAACCACAGCTACATGCAAATGCAATTATTTTCACCATACTGTATTTGTATATACTTCTTTATTACAATATCTATCTATCTATCTATCTATCTATCTATCTATCTATCTATCTATCTATCTATCTATCTATCTATCTATCTAATCTGTCTGTCTGTCTGTCTGTCTGTCTGTCATCGTCTGTCTGCCTGTCTGTCTAACTGGAAGTCTGGACTGAGTGATAACGGAGAAATTTTGAAAATAGGCTGAGGGCCATAAGAGGTTGGATTGAGGGCTGCATCCATTGCCCATGGACATCTTAAAATAACAAAGTAGGGTTGATGTGCCTCCTGCAATTCTCTTACATTCCATGCCTGAGATTATCCTTTCTACTGTGGGTACAGTAGCTGCAAATAAAGGAATTCATAATAAACTCATCATAATTCTATTTCTTCCCTCTGCCTCTACTCTTGGTTCACAAACAAAGGTGAGAATCGAGTTGGTACACAGGGGTAACACTATACCTCTTAGAATCTCTCTGAGTCCCACATCCAACATGGGCATTTCAGGTCAAAAGTAGAATATTTCCAAGCTCTGTAGCAGATATGATGAGGAATGGCAGTTTCGTGCAGTTTCCCATCCAGCTATAGTCAATATATTTCACTGAAGACATTCCAAAGACTAAATCCTCTGGGTTTAACCATGGGTTCAGTCTGCTAAAATATGGACCATTTTAATTGCACTTACTGAAACTGAGACTTTGCTTCTTCAAAATGTTCTGCTACAAAGTAGATCTGCTGAAAGTTCTGGTCTTGGTATGGCTGGATCACCATCACATCTGGGTCAAAGGGTTTGTATTCTGGTTTGTTTGATAATGCATACTTTTAGAAAGAAAACATCAAGAGTGTTAAGAATATATTGACATGCCAGTCAAAGATGTCTCCTTGTCTGCACTGGTTCCAACACCACCAAATTTTTATTATTATCACAAAAAGTTGAGGATAGCTAATTTTTGAACTACAAATCCACAAATACCCTAGCCTGCATAGCATGGGATTGGGAATGAGAAGCAATCTTGCCACTGCCAAGATTTTTGTCAAGACTAAAAATCCTGGCATGACAAGAGAGCACTTCAAGAACTGCCCAGCCTACTCAAGAAATCTTGGAAGCATGCAAGACTGAGATGCCAAATGGCTGGCTTCCCCTCTCCTGTCATGATTTCTTCAATTCTGCAAAATATATGTGGCTTAAAATTCCTGTAAACATGAAAATTTGGTGCTTTCTTCTTTGTGAAGCTAAGAACATGAACTCAGCAAGCACAACAGGATAGGCTGACTGATTACAAAGACTCAAAACACCAATTCAGTGTTAAGAAGATTTTTAGAACAAAACAAAAGTTATATATATATATTTTCCTAGAGATGGGAAATGTTTCCTTTTTTAAAAAACTGCAATTCTCAGAATTACATAGCCAGAATATCAGTGGCAGCATGACAGCTATAGACCAGTCGTTCCCAACCTTGAGTCCCCAGACATCCTTGGACTACAACACCCAGAAATCCTGGCCAGTACAGCTAGTGGTGATGGCATCTGGGAGTTTTAGTGCAGGAATACCACTGTTGTAGACCAAAAAAAGAGAGAATGTTTCCCATCTTTGCATTTCTCAAGCTTGCATATTTTACCGAAATGTGCACAAACTGCTCATAAAATTGTGCAATTGCTCTCCGAGACCAACAACAAAAAAAATCCACAGTCTTTATGGTGACTTGGATGAAAAAAAGAAAACTCACACAAGAATGATAAAACTAGGGATTCATATCACTCCTCTGATTATCAGTATGCATTTTAAAGATGATAATTCATCCCAAAGATGGTACAGTATAAGAATTCCCAAGGAGAAAAAACTGACTGTGGCGATCAACCCTTTGTTGCCTCTATTTCTTTGGGCCTCACAAAGGAACACACGCCCTTTTCGCTGCCACTAGGTATTCTTCTAGTACCACTTCAAGTCCCACATAGGAGCTGCCACCCCAAAAAGGTCGTATAACTTAGGAAGCAGGGTTTATGATTAAGTATTCTTTTATTATTGACTAAATCAACAGGAAAATCATATATGAGTTGGTTCAGGTGTTAATACTTTTAGGATCATGTAGTCACTCACTTTACTATCAATTTTATATCTTTCTTATTATGCTTATACGTTCATTCCTGCTTGTTCCATGTGTTTTACTTTTAATTTCCTCTCCTAAACCCCTTTGATCTCTTCCTAAACCCTAACACTCTCTATACATCTTCTGGTCCTTGACTCTTTCTACCTCTCCCTAACTCCAACTGTCTCTAACTGTCCCTTCAACTCCTTAACTGTCACTCTAACTCCGCCCCTCCTTCTCTATCCTTGGCTCCTCCCCCTTAGCTGCTGTGATGGACAGACAGTAATGACGTCACCTTTTTCAATTCCGCTACACTGACCAAGGATGCAATGACTATTTGCAATTTTTTTTGTCACCCTCAATGGAAAAGAAGTCTTTTGACCCTGATACATCCCATCACAAAAACGATCAACCACTGTCACTCTTCCATGACAGCAGGAAGACGGATGCTTTTATCATTTCAACAGCATAAGCCAAAACCATTGTACTTAGGATCAGAAATGTATTTCATGCCCAAAAACTTGCCCTTTCTTCAAATACATTGATTTTTATAGAAATATTTTTGTGCAAAAGATACATACATACATACATACATACATACATACATACATACATACATACCATACAATACATACATACATACATACATACATACATACATACATACATACATACATACATACATACATACATACATACATACATAAATTATTGCTTTATAGCTGATCAGGCTGTACTCAAGAGAAATTAAAGCAATCCTAACAATCGTATTGAAATCTAATGTAAACAAGCATAAAAAGCATAAAATAATACAATAATAGTAATAAAGTAATTAAACAAGCATTCTCAAAAAATTAAAAAAGATATGAAATTAACTTGAAAAACTTGTGACGCAGGCAATAAGTCCTGTCTTTGCATGGCTAGTTTAACGAATTTAGCAGTCCAATAGGATATGTAGTAGTCTGTGCCAGCTAGCAGGAATAAAGGTATAGTGTTCCTGATCCCATTTGTTAAGGGCTTAAGGTATTGGTCCCTCAGGTATGCATATAGAGGACATTCTGGTAGAAAATGTACCATGTCCTCTGTTTTAGGGCATCCTACTGGGTGATGTATGGAAGTGAGAGCTGGACCATAAAGAAAGCTGACCACCGAAGAATTGATGCCTTTGAATTGTGGTGCTGGAAGAGGCTCTGGAAAGTCCCCTGGACTGCAAGGAGAACAAACCTATCCATTCTGAAGGAAATCAACCCTGAGTGCTCCCTGGAAGGACAGATCCTGAAACTGAGGCTCCAATACTTTGGCCATCTCATGAGAAGAGAAGACTCCCTGGAAAAGACCCTGATGTTGGGAAAGTGTGAAGGCAAGAGGAGAAGGGGACGACAGAGGATGAGATGGTTGGACAGTGTCATTGAAGCAACCAACATGAATTTGACCCAACTCTGGGATGCAGTGGAAGACAGGAGGGCCTGGCGTGCTCTAGTCCATGGGGTCACGAAGAGTCGGACATGACTAAACAAACAAACAAACAAACTGGGCAATGTCTGCCTGTACCATGATGCCTGTACCATGTTGGTCCATATAGTGTCCTTGAATCTCTTCCAAGTGTAGTGAGTTCAGTCTGCATTTAGTTAGCAGATGTTTCAGCTCATGTGTGCTAATAAGGGATAAATATGGGGGCACCTTTCCAAAAGGCCCCAAAAAAGCCTTTGCATATCCTATTGGAACCACAGCTAGCTACAGATGCTATGGTAGTCTGGACATCAATATCATATAATCATTTAATAATATCTTCTTGGCCTGCCTCATACTCCGTCCTGTGGAGGTAGGTTGGGGAGTAACCCAGCTTTGATACAGTTGTGGGTGGATATCTTTCAATTTCATCATAGGCCAGTGAGACCAGCGGTGAGGCCATATGGAACACTGCCTTAAGCCAGAGCAGCACAGCTGCTTTCTTAGCAAGAGTACCCGCAGAGTAGCATGACATCTCAGAGTGGAAGTAGATCTTGGTACCCCTAGTGCTCTGGTTAAAAATTTATGTTGAACAGATTCCAATTTTGTAACATTTTAAAAAGCCCAAACTGGGCCTCCAGAAAGCACCGGGGCGAGCAGTTTATACATTTGCATTACTGGTGCCCCCATTTTTCTGCCTGGTCCAGAAGAGAAAAATATTTGCAAAATGGAGAAAATGCACAAAAACAATTGTAATTTTGCCTCGTAGAGAGAGAAAAAACCCTTTTGTTCCCATACCTAAGGAAGAAATAAGTAAAGATTTATATTCCTCGACTTGACTCTGTCTATCCAAAGCTGATATGAAAAGCCATATTTTATGTAGACTGAATACTGACTCCTTAGTGAGCTGTGTGTAGTACACAGACTTTACCCCTGAGAATGCTCTAAATCTAAACCAGATGCATTAGTCATAATAAGCAGCAATATTGTATTTCAGGCCCTGTGAACACCCGTTGAAAGATTTTAGAATCTCAAGCACATATTGTACCAGCAGAATCTTTAATTCTTTGCTCTGGGAATTTATGCTTTAAAATGTTCAGATGACCTGATATAACCCCGTAGGAGCCAAGAAGCCTTGTTTTTCTACAAGTGAAGCATGCAAAGGGTGAGGTCTGCCAATCACAAAGTATGGGCCATTTCATTTTACTGTACATATAGGCTAGACTCCAGGGTGGGTGTTAACATAAAATTCATTTCACATAATGCAGAACAGCTGACAGTACAGTAAAATTACAGTGCAAAACTGAGCATCTCAGCTGCATTCCTGCACAAGGTTGGCCAACAGGCAAAAGCTGATGTGTTAGCTGTGGACTCAGATCCTGTTGTACAGATCCCATCTCCCATTTTGAAGACCAACGTGACCTTTCTGACCCACATATGCTAAGAAATAGGACTGATTCTTACTTGTTCCTTAAAGTGAATACAGTCATGCCTCGCTTTACGATTGCCCCGCATTACAACGAAACCGCATTGCGCCGAAGGGGTTTCAATGCGTTTCAATGGGATTTTTTTTGCTTTACAATGTTTTTGCTTAACGGCGATTTTCCTGGAACGGATTATCGCCATTAAGCGAGGCACCACTGTACTTAATGGCTAGAATCCAACAGAGGTACAATGACATAAATAGAAACAAGGAAGAGCTGCTAGTTAACAAGTTTCCACAGGTTTCCTTTTTGTTTGCAGTGTCTCACATGACTTACACACAATGAAGAACACCACAGGAACTTTCAGGTTACATCATTGTAATGTCCCCCTGCATTGTATTTACACAACAGTGACCTGCAGTGTGTGCACAATAAATCTTGGGCATTCATTACAAGGATTTTCCTTCTGTGTGAAAACATACTGACTCAGATCCAGACTCAGTTACTGAGTGGAACTGGGAAAATTTTGACTCTACAGATGTCAATTAATTTCATTTTCTTAATCACCCTTCGCTGTCATCTATGTTGGCTGAGGCTGATGAAATCTGTAGTCTAACAACATCCAGAGGGTTATAGGTTAGCCATCCTTGCCTCAGAGTAAGACTGATTAAAGCAGATCTACTAAGTAAACATAAGACCTGTTAGAATCAACCCACCGAATCAGTGCAACATAAGCACTGGTGTAATGGAGCCAGTACTCACAGGGTCAAAGCCCCAACACTTTCTGGCTGGCAGGGACCATAACATCATCTGCCACCCTTCTAAGGCATCCCTGTTCCCTCCGAACTTAGCTGCAATCCTCTCAGTAGTTAGAAGATACGTAGATTTTCCTGCAACAGCACATTGTTGCAAGCTATCACTGTTGTAATGCAAAGTATTAGAGAATAGCCTGGTCCTGAATTGATAATTTGGAGGCTGAAATCCTGTTGCATATTCCAGTAAGTTAAGAAATCTCTGTAGGCATTATCTGTTTCACAATGAATTGTGGAGCTCAATATACAATAGGTAATATCTACAGAAAGTTGCACCATTTGAGTAACAGTACAACAGGATTTCAGCCAATGTCATTAATTGTACAAAAGATTTGCTCTTCAATTGCTTATATGCACTGATCCAACTACCTGCATATATGGACCCTCCTTGTGGGGATGTTGGCCATGAGGAGCATTATGAACACCTGCAATTCCCGAGTTACCTGCTCACTACTGAACTAATGAGTAATTCAAGTCTTAGTGCTTTAACTAGATGTGTCTTATGCCTGGATCCAACCCATTCATTTGCATAGCATCTTGATATAAATAATTAGAGATATACTGTCAATGCAAAGAACTGTCTGAACACTGGAGATCAGACCAGACAATGGCCGAAAACTTCTTCTTTAGCATGGTAGGTTGCAGCCGGATTGGGCCCATTGAATCAGTGAAGATTTTGTGACTTAGTTCCTCCATACATTCCATTGCTTCAAAGGGTCAGCTCTACCTGACATGTGATTTCTCCTGTCTTTGTATCTTGCATTTAACATACTTTATTGTGTTTTTGGTCACTGGAGGGTAAACATGGAATTAATTTGCAAATCTAATTACTTGGCTACATTTCTATAAGGGGATCTGGCTGTGAGATAAAATATAGGTTAATGGAAGGAATATAAAGACCCTTAACTGGAGACATGTGGAGGTTTTTTTTGGGGGGGGGATACTATGACACATTCTCTAGGCATCAGTAACAATTTTGGCACACTGGGCCAGTGGCAGCATCTTCTACCCCGCCCCACTACCACCACTCTGAGGCATGGGCATAATCCACACCAAAGAAAAAGGAGAAGGGTGATGTGGTGTCTCCTTAAAATAAAGTATATGATTTCAAAGACAGGAGAGTGACTAGAACCAGGAGGTGTTGCCGTTTATTTTCCAAATATTCACTGGTAAATTCATCACCACATTTTGGTACCATCTAAATTTTGTTACCCTGGGATAAAGACTCTGTTGACCTACAGTTTTTAGGACCCTGACAGCTGGCCTAGTCACTGGCCGTGTTGCCTTAGGATTCTGGGAACTGTAGTCCAGAAACACAGCTATGAACATCTCTACCCTTAACATCTAGTTTGACTGCAACTTGGACTAAATTTATAAGAATCAGGATGAAAAACACCCAGTAAAGATTTCAATAGCCTGAGATCCCATCATCATCATGCTTGGTCCTTAAGGAAGTGTCTTCCTCACTTTTAGTTAGAAACATCACACATGGTGTTATTTCAAAATGAACCATATGGATGTCAGGCTCACTGCTGTCCTGCAGTGTTTGCAGCTAGTAAGTTAATATAATGCTAGTGATGTAAACATCTTCAAAAGATCGAACCCCTTGAAAATTCCACGCATCATAAAAACATCAGTACTATTACAACTTACCATCAGCTCTCCATAGGAAGAAAGAAGACCTGCTCCATAGGCTTTGTTCGTTCGTTCGTTCGTTCGTTCGTTCGTTCGTTCGTTCGTTCGTTCGTTCGTTCGTTCGTTCGTTCGTTCGTTCGTTCGTTCGTTCGTTCGTTCGTTCGTTCGTTCGTTCGTTCGTTCGTTCGTTCGTTCGTTCGTTCGTTCGTTCGTTCGTTCGTTCGTTCGTTCGTTCGTTCGTTCAGCTTTTACCCCACCCAACTAGATTCTAAATGAATCTACTCTGGGCAGTTTACAGTCTGAGCAATATAAAACCAAGAATTAAAACAGACAATATCAGAACAAAAGAGAGATGAGCAAAATCCAAGATGGGAAAACACAGATAACTAAGTGATGGAAGAGGGAAAGGCCTGCTTGAAGAACCAAGTTTTCAGCTTGTTCTTGAAAGCTCCCAGCGAGTGTGCCAGGCGAATCTCAGGGAACAAGATGTTCCAGAGGCAAAGGGCCACTGCTGAGAAGGGCCACTACTGAGAAGGCCCAGTTTCTAGTTCTCTCCTTCCGGGCCTCTCTTGGGATCTAGCCCCTCGGCCACCCAGCCTGGCTAGATTGAGTGACATGAGTAGAGCTAGTTGGGAGCAGGTGGTATCGAGGTTCTAAACTGTTTAGGACTTTATATATAAGCATTAATACGTTGACGTCAATGCGGAAACGAATGGGCAACCAGTGTAAGGCTGCCAGAGTAAGGGGAAATATGATATTTTTTCACCTCAGTTAATAGTCTGGAGGCCATGTTCTGGACCATTTGTCCTTTCCACATCAATATCAAGGGCAGCCCCACATAGAGTGCATTACAGTAGTCTAATCCCGAGATTACAAGTGCATGGATCAGAGTGGGGAGCTTATCTGCCCCTTCCTGCAGTGCCCTTCTTTTTCAGTTCTTGGGTCAGAGCTTGGAAATGGTTCTTTCTTGAACTACAACTCCCAGGCTAAAATCCTGTTATGTGTGTTCCACAGTACTGATATTATCATCAGAGGAAGATCACCACTGATTAAAGACTTCTTTTTTCAATGTTTCATCTCATTATACACTAGATGTGCACATCTCAAAATCAAGAAATTTAATCAGTAGCAATCTGCCACTGACTATATCATTCCTATTGCGCAAATGGAGTTGTCCAACAGGATTTTGACCCCAGAATACCACAGTTAGTATGGCCAGCCTAGCTGGGAGATACTGGGAGTTATATTCCAAACATGTAACATTGCCAGGTTTTGCACTAGACTTGTGTTTGGCTTTATGTCTTCATCTTGCTAATACAGTGTAGCAATATTGCATTGTATGGAATGCATTGTGGAATACAGATGGTATCTGCCCAATAATATGAGATGCATACTCACTGCTGATAGTTTTTCTATATCCAGATCAGATGCTCCAAGAGAAGCCAGCCCAATATCCTAAATCAAACAGACCCGTTTATATTAAAATGTACGAACCACACTTCCATTCCTCAAAAGCCCCCCTGAAAATGGTATCTGGTCAAGACAGACACAAGCATGTAAGAATACAAGAACACTCTTACTAATTTACGTATAGTGTGTGTCCATTTAATCCAGCATACTGTTTCTAATATGATACAGCCAGATTGGCAGGAATCCACCAGCAGGGTATGAGAAGGATATACCCTTTGTGCTGTCACTGCCAGCAACTGGTATATGGCCTCAAAATTTGAAGGTTCTTGGCCTAATAGGAATTGATGGCCCCCTATTTATTGAGCTCATCTGTGAGACTGTATGGTCTTTTGGTTAAGAATAAAGATCTGTGTAGTTCTGGATTCCTCTGAGCCATCTAGCCCATTCAATTGATTAGATCATGTAGGGTACTAATTCTAGAGACTGGAGCAGATGTTTCCGGCATATAGAACATGAGATCTCTCCTGAAGCTGTTCCCCCTTCCTTCTGCTACAGTGCTAAGAATATTACCTGTGAGAACAGGGCAAATTCTTTATCAGCTAGCATAGGTACATGACCCAGCAATTCGTGGCAACAATCCCTGTGAAAACAAAATCGTATTTAAAACATGAAAAAAGTGTCATGCTTATATACCATCTCATAGTACTTAAAGCACTCTCTGGTTAGCTTACATTTTAATTTTGCAGGCTATGCATACTCAGCTATTACTAAACTATTACTAATTAATATTAAATTACTAGTACTATGTGAAATTGTGTTACCTAGAATACTATACTAGTTACCTAGTATAGTAACTAGCAAATAGAGTAGGCACATTTGAATTAACGGAACCTACAGTGCAGTTGACTTACTCTTTCCTTACTATTCCATGGCTTCTCTTGACTATCCTTTCCTTCTGCCCTCTTACCTACTGTTCTCCACCAGATGTTTTATGCCATTCTGTTGTTCTACTCATTATTATGCCATGGGATGAGTAAAAAAGACAAGAGGAAAACATCAGATAAGAGAACAGGTAATTGCTTTCTCCCCAGATCGTGGACAACATAAAGGTTGTTGCTGTGGCAAATTTGGGATGCTATAATCTTCACAACTTGGGAAAATTACTTACCTTTTTTTTCCGCCCTTTTACTACGGTTCTCAGAATCTCTCCCATGGTTATTGACCATGCTACTTAGGGAATTCTGGGAATTTCAGTCCAAAAAAGGAACTTTTCTAAGCTCTGATAACCCCCTGATCGAACAGCAGGAGAACCCAAATTTCTATGATCACTGAACAACTTCACCAAATAGATACAATCCTAACTGGAAGAAGAAGGTCCTATAAATCACTCCACTGGATTGACTACTGTTATGCACTTCAACTAGATAAAGTTATACACCAACTAAGGAACTGGCCAGTGCTTTTCGCTTTTCACATCCTTCTTTACATTCTCCTGCTGGGACAAACTTTCCCTCCTGCTGCTAACTCTTTGGAGCTGTTCCTTTGCTGTTTTATAATTACCCATTTCCAGGAGGTGGACTCTTTCCCTTCAAGAGAAGGCCGGCACTTCCACAATTATCTTCCAGCTCAGGAAGAAACACTCTCCCTATTTATCTTAGCTCTAAATCTTCAAATCTATCTACAAGTGGCTCAAAAACTCCACCATGAGAAAGAGTAGACCATTCTCAGCAACTCAGTAGATCAAACCAAATGCAAATTAAAATCTAAATCTTGTCTCTGTATTTTAATCAAGGTGTGAATTAGGCTGAGGGTTATGAGCCAAACTGTGATGAGAGAAAAGTGAAGACATAATTTACAGTTATCTAGTGGACTGGAGTTTGCAGCCTGACTGGAATTAACAAAAGAAATAAAAGAAAGGAGAGGGGAAATTATCACAGAGCATCACATATGTAGTTTGAGTCTCATATAAACGGACACAACTTTTTAAACAAACAGTTATTTGGCAATTTGAATTGCTGATCTTTGATTCCAATGCCAAGCTTCGAAAACAAGCTGACTGTAATGAAATACAGGCCCAAAATGTGAAAGATCCAAGAACTTACAGTGTGGCCAGAGAAGGCTGTTGTGTGTAAATGTATCCTAAGTGATTGAGACTGACAGTCAAAATTGAACTCGTGCCAAACCCTATGAGAATCACAAAGAATTCTAAAATGCCTGAGTTATTTGCCTCAGGCCCCAGTCCTGGCAGAACTGAAATGCTACATTCTGTGAAGCACCAATCCAGCTTACAGAGGTACAACTGCCCTTATGGGTCATGGTGTGAAAACCAGAACTTACAGATAATACTTTTAAAACTACAAGTCACACAATCTTCAGGCTGGCATGGGCAATAGCTTATGCTCATTCTCCTTATGGCAATTTCATGATCTGATAGCAACTACAATTTGGTTATGTTGCACTTTTGGACAACAGACCACAGAATGCTTCAGCCAGTATAGCCACTGGTTTTTGCTGGAATTATTGCAACTTTTGTAGGCTGCCTTTAAGAGATGTTGTCTGGGAGAGACCTTTCTAGGCTGGAATGACAATCAGTCAATCAATCAATCAATCAATCAATCAATCAGTCAGTCAGTCAGTCAGTCAGTCAATCAATCAATCAATCAATCAATCAATCAATCAATCAATCAATCAATTGTTCCCTCTCTGTCTCAGATTTTGAAGAGAGCCACCCCTCTCTACTTAAGTCTTCTTTTCCCACTCATTTTTTCTGTCAGTGGTTAGTTAGACTGAATTATGTAGTCAGTCAGAGTCAATGGTCTACTACTGATATGTAGTCAGTAAGCAGACTATGAATCGGTTAAGTTCTTCTCCTGTAACCAGTAATTATTTTTCTACAATCATTTCTACAAGCATTTTCTACAGTATGTTATTTTTTTATCTATTCAGAACTATGAGTAAATGGAACTTTTTATTCTTTCTCTTACTGGTGTCTTTGAGTAAGTTATTGAGACAGCAAGTGCCAGTTAAGGAGAACTCAGAAATAAAGGGGTGGTCTCCTATGGGGAGACTTGAAGCTAAATGTGCTCTATAGGTCCCTGAACCTTTTCCACTATAAAGCTAGAAGTTTTTAAGCCTCAAAATCTAACATTCTGCCAAGAGTTCTCACTGATTCTTCAGGTTGCAGTTTTATACCTTAATATCCACCTTAGCTTGTCAGGTCACTTTGAATCCCATAAACCACGTGATCTGAGGCCCATGGTATCAGGGATATTCTGGGAGATACAATCCCCCAAATCTTTCTTTCCCAAACTTTTCTGAGAACGAGTGAGTGATTGTCCTACTCACGGTTCTGGGGAATGCATGGGGGATGATGAGTGCCTGATGTACTGTGTACTTTGGAAGACACGGAAGGCGAAGCCAGCCAGGAAATCCCGAGCGGAGAGAAGCCCTGCAGCTGGCCTCAGTGTAAAGCCTGTCCTTTCTGGAAGAAAAATAAGCAGAGGAGTCACATGTGGTAAGGAAGGAACAGAACACACACAAACAAGAGAGAGAGAGAGAGCAGCTTTCTACGCTATCTCGAATCAGTGGTTCTCAAACTGGGGCATCCACCCTTCTATAGGATTACAGTATTAAAAAATTCCAAGTGAGGCATGAAATTATGATGCTTTTTTGAATAGCTTTAAAAAATATCCACATATTTTAAAAAGAAGAGTTTGGAAAAATATTTTATGGGATGAATAGTTACCATTCAAGTTCACAGGTGTTTGATGTAACTGTGATTATGGTTACTATTTATGAATGGTACCTCTTTCCTTGTTACTAGAAGTAACTGGAATAGTTACTTTTAGGTATTTTTTTAGACACACTCACACACCAGAATGCTACAAGCCCTTGGGCTGTAGTGTAGAAGAAAGCTAGTCAGTAAAGCCAGGTGAAAAACCACTGAAACCAGGAACAGTTACCCTGAAAAGAAATGAAATTATCTGTCATTTAATTACATCATAGCATAACTCAGTTATCCTTTTGTTGTTGCAAAGATGAATTAACTGCAAGTAACTCATTACTTGTCTGTCACTAGTTGCTTCCCTATGTGGTATTAAGTGTGACAGAAGAGCTCAGGAAAGCATAGGTTGTGATCAAAATCCCAAAATATGCTTGTGTGAGCAGATGGCTTTCTTATTCCACAAGGAGGGTGGAATATGTAAGGTATGGCCACAAACTGTGCATATAGTATTAATGTAACCAAGCTACATGAAACTTATTTAAGTAAAAAATCAATTTCTGGGCTACTGCAGGTGGTGTATGTTCTTCCTTCTGCTGGATTATACCAGCATGCTGTGCAGCTGGAGAATGTAACTCATAATAGTTGAGGTTGGGAGGATTTGCACCCAGAACTGCTGGAGATGCCCACTGTCTCTGTACAGGACAGAGACTTTATTTGAACAGTCCATTATTACCTAAGGAGGAGCGGAGTATATGTAACCAGTGAATGAATGAATGAATGAATGAATGAATGAATGAATGAATGAATGAATGAATGAATGAATGATTCAGTCAGTCAATCAGGCACTACTATCAATCAAAACTGAATGCAACCTCTAAAGCATTCCTGCCATTTTGCCCCCATTTAATTTTCATGCATGCTGTCCTGACATGAAAGCATTTCGATGTTGTCCTTATGTGCCGACAAATCATCCATAACCCTACGAATGCACAAGCTGCCTTCAACAGCCCTGCTCTTGCAAACTAAAGCATGTACTTTCCTTTAGGAAGTCAGTTCATCTCATATTTGGTCTTCCTCTTTTCCTGCTGCCTGCTGCCTTCAACCTTTCCTAGCATTATGCCCAAAGTAGGATAGCTTCAGTTTCAACATTTTTGCTTCAATTTCAACATTTAATAATTCAGAGTTGATCATTTCAAGGACACACTTATTTGTCTTTCAGGGTATCAGAAAATATCTCCTCCATCACCACATTTCAAATGAATCATTTCTTTTTCTGTCAGCTTTTTTTTACTGTCCAGCTTTCACACTCATACATGGTGACTAGAAATATGATAGTACAGTGGTGCCTCGCATAGCGAGGTTAATCCGTTCCGGATTAACCTTCGCTATAGCGAAACACCGCTAAACGGAATAAAAAAAAGCATAAAAACAAATCATCCATAACCCTACGAATGCACAAGCTGCCTTCAACAGCCCTGCTCTTGCAAACTAAAGCATGTACTTTCCTTTAGGAAGTCAGTTCATCTCATATTTGGTCTTCCTCTTTTCCTGCTGCCTTCAACCTTTCCTAGCATTATGCCCAAAGTAGGACAGCTTCAGTTTCAACATTTTTGCTTCAATTTCAACATTTAATAATTCAGAGTTGATTTGATTCACACTTATTTGTCTTTCAGGGTATCAGAAAATATCTCCTCCATCACCACATTTCAAATGAATCATTTCTTTTTCTGTCAGCTTTTTTTACTGTCCAGCTTTCACACCCATACATGGTGACTAGAAATACGATAGTATGGATGATTTTGGTCTTCATCTCCAGTGACACATTCTTACACTTGATGAAATTTTCTAATTTGTTCATTGCTGCCATTCTGAGTTTCAGTCTTATTCTGATTTCTTGGCTGCAGTTTCCATTTGGATTGAGGTATTCCCTAGCATTTCAATATTAACAATATTATTTTTCTGTTCATTGAGGTGAAATCAAGGAAGCCCATTATGGATAATTGTAGCTAATTGACAAGGTGCTGGATGCTCAACTCAATGATGAGGCATGTGACCAACATGCAAACCACATCTCATTGATTAGCCATGACAGCTTCCATGACTCTGTGCATAAAAGAAGAAATTGAATTCTGACATCAGATGTTATATACACTAATGTTCTTTTTCGTTTTAGTCATTAAGTTGTGTTCAGCTCTTCATGACCCTATGGATCAGAGCATGCCAGGCCCTCCTGTCTTCTACTGCCTCCCGGAGTTGGGTCAAATTCATCTTGGTTGCTTCGATGACACTGTCCAACCATCTCATCCTCTGTCGTCCCCTTCTCCTCTTGCCTTCACACTTTCCCAACATCAGGGTCTTTTCCAGGGAGTCTTCTCATGAGATGGCCAAATTATTGGAGCCTCAGTTTCAGGATCTGTCCTTCCAGTGAGCACTCAGGCTTGATTTCCTTCAAAATGGATAGGTTTGTTCTCTTGGCAGTCCAGGGGACTCACAACAGTCTCCTCCAGCACCACAATTCAAAAGCATCAATTCTTCGGCGATCAGCCTTCTTTATGGTCCAGCTCTCACTTCCATACATCATTACTGGAAAAACCATTGCTTTGACTATGCAGGACTTTGTCAGCAAGGTGAGGCCTCTACTTTTTAAGATGTTGTCTAGGTTTGTCATTGCTTTCCTCCCAAGAAGCAGGTGTCTTTTAATTTTGTGGCTGCTGTCACCATCTGCAATGATCATGGAGCCCAAGAAAGTAAAATCTGTCACTGCCTCCACATCTTCCCCTTTTATTTCCCAGGAGGTGATGGGACCAGTGGCCATGATCTTAGCTTTGTTCTAAACCTAGAACTATTGTTTTAGCCAAGGCTTTTCCTTTTAGATCTGTACACTTCTCCATGTAAGGCCTAACTATATGGCCCTTCTCCCTTTGCTAAATGTACTCTACAGCCTTCTCAGGTTAATAACTCTTCATATATAACTCCTTGCAAAAGTTTATTTCATTCATGTTTAAAAGTGAAATAATATCATATTCTTAAACAGTGATGTCCCAAAGGCTTTGTGTGTTTATGTTTATCATGTGGGAGAGAGGAGAAGCAATTCAGAGAAATGTAATTGCAGTTTATTGCTCATCATTTGAAAAAAAAATGGGGTTGCAATAAAGAACTGGAATTGAGACAAAGCCAGCTTGGACAGGCTGCTAAATATCTTCTGGAAACCCAAAAGGAGTTGAAAGTAAAGGCATGGCTGCCTGCCTTAAAGAAACCTATGGCACTAAGATCTCTCAAAGTATGGCTGCAACATAAAACTGTTACTCTTTGGATGTCATTTTTCATGGCTAGAAATTAAATGAATTCACTATAAAATATATATGCATTCCAGAATACATACCCTACTCTCTTTTTTTCTCTGTTCCTCATTTGCTACTTGTACAAAAATGAAGCTACATGTTTGCATTTAGGTAGCACACACAGAAACTTTTCACTGGGTTGATGTTGTTGATGGTGATGATGGAATTGTGACCTTCCCTTGGTTTGATTCACAGCTGGGCTTTAAAATTCTGTACCTAATTCCTTCTACATTTCATGAAACTGGGAAGAAATTGCTTTAAGACCAAACACTGAGCTGCATCCTTTCACCTCCTATTGACCAATTGCAAAACAAAGCAAGCTAATGTGAAAATTATGAGAGATGTGAAAGCTCTGATTGTGACAATCAGACTTCTTTTAAAACATAGTGAATTTCCCTCTTCTAATGAAGTACTCTCTGTAACATACAGTTTGGTCCTAAGAGAGAATGCTGTTTGGAAAACTCACTGCAGGTCAGTAGAACTTGCATAATGAATTATCCTAAACAACAGAGAGAGAGGTGAGGAACTTTTAGTGGAGATGTTCAGGAGGTTGCTAGTTCAGAACTCAGTTCAGCCATGGATTCATTAATTAGGCCTCAGCTTAGGGATTCTGGGAGGATTTTGTTTAGTTTCCCGTTTAATACAGCTGGCTTAATTTGATATGCAAACCAGGTATCTTGGTAATTGCTTTCCTCTGAATTTTTCAAGGTGGTTATCTGTTCAGAATTGCACACGATAGGAAAAACTGAGTACAAAAAAAGTATATATTTTAAGCATATTTTAAACAAAGGCAGGCACATTTTCTTATGCATGAAAATCCATGTGAATTTTTACATGCCTTTTTTCCTGACAAAGTACCAACTCCTTTAAATTCCTAGGATGCTCCAGAGTGTCAGGTCCAAATTAGGGTACTGGATGATGGTACTTGTACTGCAGAGAGAGCAATACAGCAGCTTACCTGACAAAAATGCAGAAACCTCATGCAGCTGAGGGATGGAGTCTGCTTGATAACCACAATATTTTTCTAGCTCATGGAAGGCATCTAAATATTGCTTGCAGGCATGAGTGGGGTACAGGCTGCTCAGCTTTTCATAGACTTCTCTCCTGAAAACAACCATCATTAGGCAGACAATTAACTCCAGTAAGAGCAGCGTTTTAAAAACACAATCAGCTTACACAGTTTGACCCCCCCCATAAGATGTTTTGCATATCAGTTCCCAGAATCCCATTGACCTTGCTTCACTGTGAAAGTAACACAGTTTCTTTTTAGTAACAATGAGTGATGTAATTAGTATGTGATTATAAAATTAGAGGTATAATGAGCAAAATATAAATACCTTCAAAAGTGACATTGAAAAACCGTTTTATTTAAAGGGGTTTTTAAGTTGAATTTTAATAGGAAATTTGGAACTGCTGTACCATTTTTTATGAATCCTATGTAGCAAATGAAATAATCTTTAAAGGAGAGGACATGAGTATTTAGCACACCGATTGGTCCACTGTGAGGTGGGCTGGTTCACTCCTTTTGCTGCTGATCAGACAATGTATTTGTCAGAGTGAACCAGCCTGCCCCCAAAACATTCCTGTTACATACAGCACTGATGTTAGAACATTCCTACCTGCACCTTCTTGAGTCCTTGTCAGTGGCTATTGTTTTTAAAGTGTGGGAAGAATTGCCACATTTTGGGTTGTTTCTAGAATGTGTGATTGCTATGAAGAAACGAGCTTCCTGCTTTTAATTACCCAGCTGCTTTTAATTTCTCAATATCATTAGTGCCTTAAACAGACAGCTTAGCTACTTAATTATATTGGGAAACTGGGAAATTAAAAACTTTCTTCTACTCCTCCTTCATGTAGCAGAGGGAGGAAATATTTTGTTGGTTTTGGTTTTTAAACAATTAGGACAGTGCTGATGTGCTGCATCTTTGATTTTTTTTTAATGAAGTCTTCCTCCCATAAGTCAGAGGAGACATGAAGCGGACTTTTTCCTTTGCTTTACAGCTTATTTTAAAGAAGACAGACCCAGTAGTAGTGCTTGAGATGCATATGCCATGTAGAAGCAAAGGCCAAACCACATGACATTGCAGATCTCTACCTGATCTTAAGAGACCCTGTTTAGCCCAAACCAGCCCGCTCGTTTTTATTTGTTTTTATTTATTGCATTTGTTTCTATTTATTGCATAGCCACTGATGAGGAATACTGGAAGTTGCAGTCCAACAACCTCTGGAGGGCCATACTTTGTTTACCCCAATATAGGGCTTTATCAACATAGAGAGATAAGAGAAGGCATTTTGGATGCTGAGTTTCCCTTTACGATGCAAAATGGTGACCTTACCATGTAGCAATTTCTTGGGGAGTATACTCAACTCTTGGTAAGGGATCCCCACTGTAGAAGAGAACACGACATTTGGTTAGAATTCATTTGCATGCCTCAGACGGAGCAGATACCAAGGAAGAGTGTTTAAAACCCCCTAAAATTTTTACATATAGAACAGTGTTACCAAAGAAACTTCTGGGAGCCTAACAACCATGCTTGTAAACAAGATGCGTGAAGAGTGCACATCTTGTTTTAATGGGGGGAAAAGGTGCTGGGAAAGGGAATGTTTTTTCATCGTGCATGTGTGAGAAGATCCTCAAAGGTTTACAAAAATTGAAAGACCCCACGCACACACAAGCATGGCCAGTAGGTCACATATTGATGACTCCTGGTGCAAATCTACATTTTGGAGAGGGTGAATTGGGAATGAAATGTGAATAATACAGCACAAAACTAGCAACAAAGTGTCCAAAGTATTTGCAAAGGCTTTCACGGCTGGGATCTAATGGTTGTTGTGGGTTTTTCGGGCTCTTTGGCCATGTTCTGAAGGTTGTTCTTCCTAACGTTTCAACAGTCTCTGTGGCCGGCATCTTCAGAGGACAGCACTCTGTCCTGTCCTCTAAAGTGTCCAAAGCTGGCTGAGCCTACAAGGAATTGTAATCTCAAATCCCAAGTTGCCTGTTCCCGATGGATCATTAGCCTTCGGTCTGTCACTCATTACAAGCTGGGCGAATGTATTTAAAGTGAATCTAAACTTTATGTGTACAAAATAGAGATGGGAACAAACCTTGGTTCAGAGGCTCATGCCAGTTTGTACATGCGGCGGTTCCCTTCCGCTATCTTGCCATCTGGATCCCCCACTCACCAGCCGGCATCCTGTCCTCTCCTCCTCTCTTTGGCTCCTCCTCCTTGGCTCTTTGTTTTCCCTGCCCCGCCTCCTTGGTTGATTGCCCACTCAAACAAGGGGGCAAGACAGGCAAACCTGTGCTCCTGCTGGGGACTGGCCAAGCAGCTGAAGGGGAGGTGGAGAGGAGCAATTTCTGACTGGTGAACAGGTTGTTGGCCAGGGAGGTGGGGAAACATGGTTCATGCCCATCTCTAATACACACATGAAAGATGAAAGAGCTTTATTGAGCCAAATTATTTAAAATTAGACACAGAACCGAATATCTTTTAGAAATCTCCCTTTCTTTTGATGATTATATCTGAGTTTTCAGAGGAATAGTGCTGTGGATATCTTGACCAAGGATCTAATTTCTATCAAACTTCTGCTTCTGCATCTGCTTATAAACACAGGCAACCAGACTGCAAACTGTGCAAGCACAAACACTGAAAAATGTTGAAGGTTCCTATTTAAAAATGATGTTGCAGCTTTGCTACATTTTACGTACTGCCTGAAGTTAAAAGCCAGATCAGCAATAAAAGCCCTCCGCTTCCGGTATTCTGGATCAGTGTATCCCTAAAAGGGGAAAGAAAGAGATGTTACTTCATTGCAAAGCCAAAATATTCACATCAAAATTCTTAGGACCTAAATTTGGTGGTGAAACTGAGAGGTGGATTTTGAAATCTGAAACCGCACAGTAGCCACTTAATTTAAAATAGGGGAGTTTGGATCACCAAACAGATTTTATGGCCCTCTTGAGAATCTTTGCAGACTGTAATGAAGACACAGTAAGTTGTGAAGGCAAGAGGAGAAAGGAACGACAGAGGATGAGATGGTTGGACAGTATCATTGAAGCGACCAACATGAATTTGATCCAACTCCGGGAGGCACTGGAAGACAGGAGGGCCTGGCGTGCTCTGGTCCATGGGGTCACGAAGAGTTGGACATGACTTAATGACTAAACAACAACAACAACGTCGTTTATTGTACAGTATATTAAGGATGAACATTTGGGTTTTGTTTAAGCCAAGGTTTTTAGCCTAAAAAACCTCAAAATAACTCACTGAACCAAAAACAAAAAACCCCACAAAATCTAGATCTGTATTCCTTTCTTCAACCATGATCAATGAAATGAAATAAAATGAGATTGGATCCAATCAAATCCAAACCCCTACCTCAAAGAACCTATACTTTGAAGAGTTTGTGAGCTGACACCAGAAATTCTTATAGCAGAAGAGAAAACCAGTAAACTGATGCCAGTTGGACCATTACGTCACAGAATAAAACACCTTTTGCAATATTTGATTATCACATGGTATGGGATTAGCAGCTGCATTATTCTGTGTCATAGCAGTTGAATGATAGTGCACAGTATCCTCTGGCAGAGCTGTACTGGCTGGATGGTAATGAAGTCACTGACAGCAAAGATTGCTGTCGATTAAAGAGCTCCTTTTTAAAATAATCAAGGTACATACAACCTTGTCTTCACTACATACTAGTCACTCAGAGCCTCAAAAAAGGAACTCTCTAATGAGCACCCATCTGCTAGCGACATCATTCCAATTATGCCTGTGGAGCTCTGCAAGAGGATACTCTGTGATTAACAATTATATGTGATTAACATTTATAACTCACCGGATGCTCACAGTCCAAATCAGGATTGTATTTGGTGACAAGATGATGGCATCGGTCAAGATCTCGTATTTTTGTGGGGAACCAAGGGGCTGTTGGTGAGATTATAAAGAGCAGACTGTTAGTACAGGGTATCCACATATTCAGTGGGCATTCAGGACGAACACAGGTGACACTGTTCAGAGTTACCATAATACAGTTTGCAGTCGTTGCAAAGATGCTGAAAATTAGATATCTAACAGAGCAATTGTATACCGGAGGTATGCCAGTCAGAGCTTTTAGGACCCAAATATCTGCAGGGAGATCCCATACAATTCGAATTGATTTGTGTCTTAAGATCATCGGGGAGGCGGGAGAGGGGTCTTCTGTGGGCACTTTATGTACAGTATGTATCAACAAAAGAGGCAACTTTCTCAGTGGTGGCATCCCAGCTATGGAATGCTCTGCCTACTCAGGTGCAATGGATGTCAACATTGCAATCATTTCAGTGCTAGGACACCCCTTTTTTCGTCCACGAAGCCCTAGCTCAGTGTTTTAGCTCTGTGGCTGTACAGCCAGAGGTTGGGAATTCTATTCCCTATTGTTCTTCCAGTGAGCCTATGTGGCCTTAGGCAAGCTGCACTGTCCCAGGATGTCCCCAGAAGGAGGGAATAGCAAACCACTTCTGTCTTCTCTGCTTGGAAAACCCTGAAAAGGATCGCCATAAATTAGAATTCACTTAATGGCACATAATGATTACCCTTAAGACCTGTAAAAATGGCTCTGCTGATTTAATTGTTTCACTGCCTCTTTGTGTTTTGAGATCCCATTTTGAGTTTGCATTATTCTGATTATTTATGTTTTGTTGCTTCACTTTTATGCATTACCTTGGTATTACTACAGCTTAAGGTTGGTTGAAAAGTGCTGAAATGAGATAGATTCACGACAAATAGGATTTGATGGTATTCCTGCTCTATTGGCAGAACAGATGGGGTGTCTGTAGGAACAGATATACTTCAGGAATACGTATCATATAGTTAGGTCTGTAGGAACAGATACTGTATACTTCAGGAATACGTATCATATAGTTAGACTCACAGAGCTTCTCTTGCAAATATATGCCTGCAGAATCGCCGAAAGCACTGGTTGTGGAAAGGGGTGGGACAGGGAAAGAGCAAAGACATGTCATCTACTGTACACCCCAGAGCACAGAGCAACCTCAGACCTGCTGAAAGGAATTTTCCTCCATTGACTTCGGTGAGAGAGAGTTGTTTTTTTTCCTCCTTAAAGCTGCTCCTCATGTCAGTTACCTTACATCACCATGAACAGACCACAGGATATGGTGTAACCCAGCTCTCAGTCATGGCATATTCCCATATAATATCAGAGAGCCACAATTACACTGTGGGTTCTTTTGGACTGCATCAGTGCATCCAGGTCTTTGCAGGGTGGCCAGTAATAAAAGATCATGGGAGTTGTGATTGCTGTTTCCCCCCACCCCCCTAAACCTATTTTAAAGTTTTAAATGCTTTTTAATTAATTAATTGATATTTAAATTATTATTTCACATATAATTGCTTTTAAAGCCATGATTTTAAAGCTGACCATGAAAATAGGCAATTATTGGGATAGAAAACCTGGCTATTCAAGCAGGCCTTCCCTCCAGTCAATTAAGTGATTCTTATTTCTTTTTTCTTTTGATTCATGCCATCTTGGTAATGTTTGCTTCAAATTAATTGTTATAATCGTAATTTTATGATTTTATATATTTTATATTGTTCTGTTTTTATCTATGTAAGCCGCCCCGATTAGACATGGTCTAGAGGGGCGGGGTAAAAAATCTAATAAATAAATAAATAAAAAAAATAAATAGAATTACTGTACAGTGGTGCCTCGCTTAACGATGTTAATTGGTTCCCAAAAAAAACCATTGCTATGGGAAAACATTGCTAAGCGAAACACCATTTCCCATAGGAATGCATTGAAAACCAGTTAATCCATTCCAATGGGAACGGATTACCGTCCTTAAGCGAAAATCGCCATTGGAAACATCGCTAAGCGAAACAATGTATCCCCCGTTGGAATGCATTGAAGCCTATTCAATGCATTCCAATGGTTTTGCGATGTCCGTTTTTGCAATTTTAAAAGTGTCTTAAAAGGTTCAAAAATGGTTTTAACTGCTTGGGATCGTTAGTGCACCTTCTAAAACCTCTGCAAACTTAATTTGGTTCTGTTCTGACTCTTTGTTAATTTTTGGTGAATTTTTCCCCCCATTGAAATGCATTGAACCTAAGTTTGACAGCTGTCAAACTTAGATTCAATGCATTTCAATGGGGGAAAAAATTCACCAAAAATTAACAAAGAGTCAGAACAGAACCAAATTAAGTTTGCAGAGGTTTTAGAAGGTGCACTAACGATCCCAAGCAGTTAAAACCATTTTTGAACCTTTTAAGACACTTTTAAAATTGCAAAAACGGACATCGCAAAACCATTGGAATGCATTGAATAGGCTTCAATGCATTCCAACGGGGGATACATTGTTTCGCTTAGCGATGTTTCCAATGGCGATTTTTGCTTAAGGACGGTAATCCGTTCCCATTGGAA